AAAAAAAAAATAAAAATAAATAAAGCATCTGGGGATGTAGCTCAGTGTGAAGGCCCTGGGTTCAAGCCACAGTATGGCAAAAGGAAGAAATGAAAAAATATAACACTGCTGTGATCTAAAGTTTCCATTTTTGATACTTAAAAAAATAAGTAAGGATGCATGGAAAAACCAAATGTAGGGGAGACACAAAAGTGAATTTTGGGAAATAACCTAGTATCGTTTGTGACACTCCAGGGAAACTCCTGTGTTTCAGTCACCCTCAGGCCAACAAATGTCGCCCTATCTTTCCCAGTGAACCCCCTCTTTCTAATACTCCCCTGAGAGTGCTCGCAGAGCAGCCGCATTTATTGGGTACCTACTGTTGGCCTAGTGAAGTTTGTCCTTGTGGGAGGTCAAAGGGGGTGGGTAGGGGAGGACTTCAAACTGCTAATTTGGGGGAGCAGCCTGGTGCTTTGTCCTGGGCTCTCGGCTCGCATGTAGCCAAGGCTTGTTAGTTTGGTTTGAGGGCTGGGCCAGCCCCGCAATGGTCCGTTATGACCTCAGTAAAATGAAGATGGGTCTAGAAGCAGAAAACGGCAAAAGCATGCATCATTTTGTGTTTTTCTGCCCTGCCTCTTCCCAGCCAGACCCGGGAATAATTTTGGAGACCTTAACCTTTGTTGCCAGGACGCGACCTGGAACCTCCCGGGCGTCGCAGCCTGACAGACTTCGCCCCTCCCCTGCCCTCCGAGGTTCCTCCAGCCGGCCTCACCACCCTACCCTGCGCACGTCTTGGCCTCTGTACCCTCCCTCACCAGACCCGGGCTCAGAGGACGCTGCGCACGCGCCTGCGCCTGCAGACCCTGACCCGCGAGCGCGTGCTGCGCTTCCTGCGCCGCAACGCCTTCATCCTGCTCACTGTCAGCGCCGTGGTCATTGGTGAGCTCCGCCAGCCGGGGGGCGGGACTTCCGGGAACCCCTCTCCGCCCCACCCCTTCACTCTCACTTGGCCACACCTTGCGCCTATTGCTCCCTAGGCTCCTCTGAAGTCGCATCTCTGCCAACTCAGCTGTGTGCGCGCACGGTGTCATATGTACGTGCGCATACACACGCTCGTACAGACACAGCTTACATATGCACGACATATGCACACAAGCAGAAACACGTTTTATGCGTGGACAGGATTTACAGGTGCAAACAAACTCGTGCACACTTGTGTGACTATACAGTCGTTCCTTGATATCTGCAGTGAGAGATTGATTTCAGGATCTTCAGGGATACCAAAATCCGTGGATGCTCAAGTCCCTTAAATAAAATAGTGTAGTGTTATCTAGCCTAGGCACATACTCCTCTGTATGCTCCTAATTGTCCCCAGGTGTCTTAAAATACCTGATACAATGACCAGCATGCAAGTACTTATACTGTATCGTTTAGGGTATAATGAAAAGGCAAAAGCGTATAGACTCCTTACAAATGCACCCCCCGCAGTGTTTTCCACCCGTAGTTGGTTGGTGTGAGAGGCCAGTTCTGCTAGAACTTATGAACCCAAGTCCAAGCTCATGTGAACAAGAGCATATGATTTCCTGAGCATCCATCCACACACTTATGACCTTAAATACACAGGCACCCCCATGTTTGGAAACACACACACAGTGCACACCCAGGGAAATGCATGTGCATGTTCAAGTGTATGGGCCCACATGTGTAGGCATGCCTGTGTTCACAGTTGAACATGCAGCCTCCTATGCACGCACACCCATGCATGAATGAGTGCAGACATCTATGTTTGCACACACATATGGTGACGGTTTCTTCCATTTTTGCATTGTACACCAATGTACACACAGATGCACACATTCAGAATGTTTCTTTCTCTTACTGTCCATTACACTCACTCCTCCTGGGATGGATGGACCCTGCCTGGGGCTGACTGACCCACACTCTGCTCCACAGACCCCTCTTTTTGGCTTTAGGTGTCAGCCTGGCCTTTGCCTTGCGCCCATACCAGCTCACCTACCGGCAGATCAAGTACTTCTCTTTTCCTGGTGAGCTTCTCATGAGGATGTTGCAGATGCTGGTGCTGCCCCTCATTGTCTCCAGCCTGGTCACAGGTGAGAGCACCCAGGCCAGTGTTGGCCTCTGAGACCCATTCAGGGCCCCAGTTTGAGCAGAAAGCCAAGGCTATCCCAAGTATGGGAATCACTTTCCCAATTCAAAAATCAGCCATGGAGCCTGCATTTAGCCTGGGATCCTTGGCCAAAACCAACCTCAATCAGGCTCAGGTAGGTTCTAGCCCCCATAGGAGCGAACCCGCTTAGTATATGTTCTTGTGCTTTTGCTTGAAAGCAGAATGGCAGCCTGCATGGGTCAGTGCTATCCAGAGGGGAAGGAAAGGCTGTAGAGGGGAGGGGCAGCCAGAGAAGGTAGCTGGAATATGAGGTGAATGCGTATGGGATATGTATGAGGATGTAGAAGGTGAGTGAGGTGGAACTGTCAGGATGGAGGATGGGTTGGGATGGGAATGTGGGTGGATTATTTAGGTGCATTCAAATTCTTTCTCTCCTGGGCCAGCCAGGCAATGATTGCAGCTTCCAAGGCCGTTTGGTTCCTAGTGCAGTGACTCAATTTAGCTGTTGTATCACAAAAGCAGCCACAGGCAATATAGAGCATGTATGGTTCCAATAAAACTTTATTTACAGGGACAAATAATGGGCCTCTGGTGGTAGTTTGCTAATCCTCGGCTTTGGGGACGCACATGAAAATCAAGGCATGAATGAACAAGTGGTTTCTTAGGTTGTGTTTCCTAAAAGTAGAGCCTGAGGTAAGGATATTTTCACAAATGGCTTGTGAATGAGAAACCCACAAGGAGGCAAAGGAAGCAGGATTCTATGGGAAAGGATGCTAAACAAAGATGTGTGGTCAAAGGAAGGCTGGTCTCCCAGCCCGATCACATGGGGAGCTGTGGTGTGTGAACAGCACCGTGGAAACGCACCCCCCCAACTCTGGTCCTATTTGAGTCAAAACAACTGACCTTTTGAATCTGTGTACCAGTTAGTCATTGGCTGTAGGATGCCCTTTAGACCTTTATGGGCGAGTCTCCTCCTGTTCTGCTGAGGGCAGTTCTCAGGAGCTGCTAGGAGCCAACATTCAGCTGAAGGACAGGTGCCGTGGACATCTGGGTGATGCGCCAACAGTATCCACTCAGAGAGGTTACGATAAAGTAGATTGGAGGGAGATTCTGTGTGAGATAAGCAGTACTATGAAGAGTGGAATGAAAACGAGGGTCTGGTGCAACGTGAGGGTCAGTGGGAGTGGGTGAGAGTTGATATGGTTGGCTTGGAGCAGAGGGAGTGTAATAGCTTTTGGTGGAGATGTGTTTGGGATAAAGGATGGCAAGGGATATGCCAGTGTATAAGGAAATTAGCGGGCGGATCGTTGGTGTTGTGCATATGTTCTGGGTGGGTTCTGAGATAGGGTGTAGGAGGAAGGGATGCTCGGTTGGGTGGGTGTTGAGCTGATGGGGTAGATTGATGGGAGAGTGGGTGGTGGGGTCTGGATGGGGGAATTGGGGCTGCATCATCTGTCCTTCAGGTATGGCATCCCTGGACAACAAGGCAACAGGGAGGATGGGGATGCGGGCTGCTGTGTACTACATGGTGACTACAGTCATTGCGGTCTTCATCGGCATCCTCATGGTCACCATTATACATCCTGGGAAGGGCTCCAAGGAGGGGCTGCACCGCGAGGGTCGAATCGAGACCATCCCCACAGCTGACGCCTTCATGGACCTGGTCAGGTGCCGTTCTTTCTTATTTTGATGGGATTTCCAGCTGTACAAGCAATGACTCATTTAAGAAGAGACAAAAGGGACAGGTAGACTCAGTCAAGAGATAGAAGCATCACTAAATTCTCATTTTTGATATTCACTTTTTATCCTGGAGCCTCACCTAGGATATAAGCTTTGCACCCTTAGGCTGGGGAGGCTGTAGCTATAGCACCTTGGCATGGGGTCTGAGCAGCTACTGTTTGCCTGGTGTTCCCCAACTCCTTTGGAGGGTGCTGACTCTTAGTGCAGCACATTTCGCCAGAGTCAAGGCTATAGCCATATGTCTACCCTAGTCACTGACATGGGTGAACCTGCAGTTGGAGGAGTTTAGGAACTGTTTTTGATTTTTTTTGAGGCATCACTAGCATTTGTATTTGAAATAAAGTTTTTCAGTGACATGGATTCTGGTAAGGCTCAGACAGACCTGGATTTGAGGTCTGTTGTAGTCTGTTTTCTGCTGCTATAACAGAATACCTGAGACTTGAGTGAGGTATAAAGAATAGGTTTATTTAGCTTGTGTCTCCGGAGGCCGGGAAGGCTGAGAGTGTGAATTGGCATTGTGTGAGGGCCTCAACGTGGTGGAGGGCATTCCAATGGCAAGACAGAGCAAAGGTGCCAGGGAGAGCTTGCTTTGATAACAAAGCCACTCCCTATTAGCCCATAAAGTCATTATCTGTGAATGGATTAATCCATTTATGAGGTGAGAACTTTCATGACTTAATCACCTCTTTAGGGCTCTACCTCCCACCACCACTAAAATCCACAATCAGATTTCAGTATGAGTTTTGGAGGACACAAACCATACTCAAAACATTGCAAGATCCTTCTGCACCTTCTAGCAGCTGTATGGCTCTGGGTAACTTACGTACATTCTCTGTGCTTGGGTTACTAGGTGAGTAAAATGAGGGTGTTAGTGGCGCTCACTTTTAGGGTTATTGTAGTGTTTAAATCAGATGATTTAAACTGTGCTCAGTGCCTGATCTAGACTAAGCAGTCGTATGTTGACTACCACTATTATTGTTGGTTTTATTACAATGATCACCCCAGGTTCTCTTTCAAAGTCTAACCACATCCCTTTATTTGATGTTTTTCTGCAGAAATATGTTTCCACCCAACCTTGTGGAGGCCTGCTTCAAACAGGTCAGGGCCAAGTATACAGTTTGGCACAGAGGTTTGGAGGGTGGGGAGCTTGCTGCTGATTCAGTGACCTAAGGCTGAGGGTGGGTAGGAGGGCCTGAGAGAGGAGCGGGCAGGGACCTTTGGAGGAGTCTGGGAGAATGCATATGGATTGTTGTGTCTGAGAATCAAAGGAGGGAATCATTTAGGCCATGGGCTAGCTGGGCTGGGACTAGAGGAAGCATGAGGCTAGGTGAGGATTCCAGGACTCATGACCATAGATGGTGAAGACAGAGGCCCTACAGTCTGGCTGAGCATTGCCAAGGCAGCTTGAAAAAAGATGCAGACTCTGTATTTATTCATCTGTTCATTGGTTATTCACTTCCTCATTCATCTACCCATTTACTCTTTGATCCCTTGGTATTGGCATGGGCCTGATTTCAGAGCCCCTGGCAGATTCCAAAATTGGTAGCTGCTGAAATCCCTTAGATAAGACAGCAGAGTATTTACACGGAATCTCCTACTGTATACTTTAAGTCATGCTTAGATGATTTAGAACACCGGATGCAGTGCAAATATTATGGAAATAGTTAAGCTGTATTGTTAGAAAATAGTGACAAGAAAAAGGTCTGTACGTGTTTAGTATGGAAACCAATTTTTGCCCCATTAGTTTTGACCCGTGGCTGGTTGAATCCATGAATGCTGAGTCCATGGATATGGAAAGCCTATAGTATATATTTATAGGCTTCAACATGATGCTTTGAAATATGTATATATTGTGGAATGTCTAAATCAAGGTAATTAGTATAAGCATTATCTTATACTAGTAATTAGTATAAGTATTATCTATTATTTATTTGTGTTAGGAGCACTTGAAACATTTATTAACTTGCTCAGTGATTTTTAAGTACACGATACATTGTTATTCAGCATAGTCCAAAGCTGTATGACAGAGCTCTTGAACTTCTTACTACTGTCTAACTGAAATTTCGTACTGTTTGACCAACATCTTCCAATCCTCCCCCACCAACCATCTCAGCCTTTGATGACCTCCATTCTAAAGTTTGCTTCTATGATACCAACTTTTTTAGATTTCACATATGAGGCCATATGGTATTTGACTTTGTATGTCTGGCATATTTCACTAAACATAATGTTCTCTGAGGTCACTCATGTAGTTGCAAATGACAAGATGTCCTTTTTAAAGACTGAATAGTATTCCATGTTGTATATATAACACATATTCATTGTATACTCATCCATGAACACTTAGGCTAATTTCAGTTTTTGACTATTTTGAGTAGGGCTGCAGCAGACATAGGAATGCAGATACAGGATGACTACTATCCTTTATTTAAAATGCTTGGGACCAGAAGTGTTTCAGATTTTGGAATTAAAAAAATTTTTTTTAGAATATTTGCATATATCTCACGAGATACATTGGGGGGTAGGACCCACGTCTAAACATGAAATTCATTTGTTTCATGTATGCCTTACAAACATAGTGTGACAGCAATTTTATATAATATTTTTAATGCACTTGTGTTTCCACTGTGTCCTGTCATGTGAGGTCAGTTTGGAATTTTCACCATGTTGATGGCTAAAAAGTTTCAGATTTTGGAGCATTTTGGATTTTTGGATTAAGGATGCTCAATCTGTATCTCTTCAAGATGCTGGTTTATTGTCCTTTGGAGTACATACCCAGCAATGGGATTGCTAGACCACGTGGTAATTCTATTTGCGATTTTCTGAGGACCTTCCACACTGTATTCCATCATGGCTGTAGTATTTCATTCACTCCTTCTTCTGTGAATTGCATGGTCAAATTATTTGAATTAATGATTCATGCACTCATTCGGATTGGCTGGGTAAGACTTTCCGTGATGCGAGAACTAGGAATCTGTGGTCTCAGGAATTCCTCCAGGTGATTCTGATATAGCCACTGAGCTGCATTTTGGCCTGATCTTTCTGTATTTCAGTTCAAGACGCAGTACAGCACAAGGGTGGTCACCAGGACCATTGTGAGGACAGAGAACGGGTCTGAGCTGGGTGCCTCTATGCCTCCTCCACTGTCAGTGGAGAATGAAACCAGCATTCTGGAAAATGTCAGTCGGGCCTTGGGGACCCTGCAGGAGGTGCTGAGCTTTGAGGAGACTGTTCCTGTGCCTGGATCTGCCAATGGCATCAATGCCCTGGGCCTTGTGGTCTTCTCCGTGGCCTTTGGGCTGGTCATCGGTGGCATGAAACACAAGGGTCGCGTCCTGAGGGACTTCTTCGACAGCCTCAATGAGGCTATTATGAGGCTGGTGGGCATCATTATCTGGTGAGTGCTGGGCCGGGCCTGGGTGGGCAGCAGTGGTCATGGACAAGGAAGAGCTAGGGCTGGGACCAGGCAGGCGGTGCAGAAATTACAGAAGCTGACTTTGGCCAAAGTCTTTCATCTGTATATTGTCTAATTCGTCACGAACTTATCCATTAATTAATTCATACATTTTTCATATTTCCTGCAATGATTTATTCACTTGTTCATACCCTCATTCACCTGTCATTCACTTACTTTTTCTATGCACTGACTAACTTATCCACTTTTCATCCATATTCATTCTTTTTGCATTGGTTCACTCATTTTCTCGTTCATTCATTCACCAACTCATTCCTTCCTTTACTTGTGTCTCTCTGCAATAAATTTATTTTACCATGATTTAGTCAGCATCCATGCCCTCGTTTAGATAAATTGAGATTAATTCATTCATTTACTTTCATTCTCTTACACATTGGTTCCCGCGTACTTTCTTATTTGTTTATTCTTTTTGCATCAGTTCATTCACTCATGCGTCCATTCATAAACTTATCCATGCATTAGCCCCATGGTGGAGCCATTTATTTGCTCATGTAAGTCAGGTGTTTATTTGGGTTCTTTCCTAGACCCACTCATTCATCTGTGCATTTATTATTCTCTCATTTCCTCCCAAATGGTTCCTTCACTCGTGTGCCCATTCATTCACGTCTCATTTGCTCTTTTCTCCCTCATTTATGTGCTCATTAGTTATTCCTTAAGGGATGCTTGCATGCATTGCTAAATTCTGTTACTCCTTCACTACACCTTTCCTTTATCCAGCGGGTATTTGTCCAGGGTGACTTTGTGTTGAACTCTGAGATAACGGAGCTACGTTGAATTCATACTTTGTCTTCAGGGAACTTACACAGTCGGGGAGGAGGTGGATGTATAGTAGGTAAATGTCACTCCAAGTGCTCCCACTTCTGGAGTAATGGGGCATCACTAAAGTGTTGGGAATGTGCAGAAACGAGCAGCGAATGGAAGGATATGGAAGGTGAGGAGGAGTCACGGAGAAGGTTGGCTCTTAGCTGGGCCTTGGAAAGCATGTGGAGAGTCAGAGAGAGAGAGAGAGAGAGGGCGGTGCATCAGGCAAAGGGGGCTGGAGCAGCTCAGCTCTGTTGAAGGCCTCCTGGTTTTGCTGCGATTTATTCATTCATTTATTCACTGATAGCATCACAGTGCTGGGAATTCATGCAAGAGGGGAGATTACAAGGCAAGGCAGGAGCCAGAGTGAAGGAAGGGATCACCAAGGACTTCCCACCGGGCTACACCTCTTAAAGGTGCCACTGCCTCATTGGTGACAAAACGCCCAAATCATGAATCTTTGGGAACCCTGAGGGACACAATCAAACCATAGTATCCAAACTGTAGCATCATCCTACATCATTTTTTTCTTTCTTTTTATTTGGTACCTGGGATCAAACTCGGGGCTTTGCACTTGTGAGTCAGGCAGCGGCACTACTGAGCCGAATCCCCGGCCCCATCCCAGATCATTTGAAGGTTATTGGATTCTTAGTTGTTTAGGGGGCTTTAGGCCAGGATGGCAGCTTGAAAAGCAGCCAAGGGGAATGGAAGGGTGAGCTTATCGAGGGTACACAGAAGATGAATAGGGAGAAATGAAGGCTCAATCTAATTGAGAGCCATGGATATGTATAGCAGGGTGATTGGCCCGGTTAGGCGAAATGTGCAGATGTGCCAAGTAGCCCAGTGTCAGAGGCAACAAGTCATGTACAGGGGATCCAGGTTTGCGGAATTTAGCAGAGGATGAAGCAGAAGGAGGAGGTGAGGCAGTTGAGAAAGAGATTGCATAGCACAGAGATAGATTTAGACACACTGTCTTAGAGATAACTCTGCAGCCATACACTAAAGTGCACCCTGACTGGCCAAACTATCCTATAGCCTCATTTCTGACCCACACACTGCACCAATTTTTCAAGTGGTCCCAATCTCCTCTAATCCACCCACCATGGGGGTGACCACAAATGGACTCCTAAAGATGGCCCACTGTAGGCAACTTGGGGACAGGGAAGTGTGTATCTGAAATGTAGTAGATACTCGATGGATAATTATTGCATAAGTGAGGAATACATAGACAATGTTGATAAGGAAGTTGTTTGTTACGAGATGTGGGAAATACAATGAGATAGCTCGAGCTGGTGGACGAATAAGAATATCTGCTGGCAGGAAAGATAATGGGGCATCAAAATTACAAGTGAGAACAGACTT